GAATCGATAGCGGCCTGATATCTCCTGCCTATGGAAGAGTCAAGCATACGAATCACTTCCTGGGGAACGCAAAAGCCAACTGCTGTAACGTCTTGGGTTGTGGTTGACGTCGGCGTAGCCATCTAATCCTATTCATCATACAGGTGTTCTATCGGGGTCAAATGCGGGGATCTGGAGGCCAGTGGAGAACATCAACGTTGTTGTTGTGTAGACAGGCTCTTGTGATCCGTGCTGTATGCGGTCGAGCGTTGTCCTGCTGGAATGCACCGTTGCCGTTGGCTGCAATTGGGAGGACGCGTGTTGGGAGAATTTTGTTGATGTATCGTTGAGCCGTAAGATTGCCCTGGATATGGACCAAACCTGTCCTACCATGATGAGATATAGCCGCCCACATCACAACGCTACCCCATCAAACTGTCCACTTCCTGCACTCAGTTCCCGGCGTAACGTTCTCCCCGACGTCGGTAGACGCGTGCTCTTCCATCCCCACTCCTGGGGCGAAATCTTGATTTGTCGCTGAACCAGACCTGTCTCTATCGCATTTGAGACCATAATCTGTGTTAACACCAATGCAGTCGTTGTTGACGATGTTTTCGACTCAAAATGACGCATCGAAAAAGACGTCTTGCTCGTAGACCTGCTGTTCTCAAACGGGTTCGTACGGCCTGGACGGAGATTCTGCGCAGTCCTGGTATTTGGGATGCGGTTGAGATGGCTGTAGTCGTCCTTTCACGTAGGTGGCGCAATCGGATGTAGCGACCTTGGGCGAGGGTGGTTACTCTTGGTTGTCCCGACCTTCGCCGATCACTGGTTGACCCATGCTGTTGAAACCAATCCCATAGCCTTGTGATGGTGCTGGGCGCTACATTGAAAACCCTGGCTACAGCTGATCGGGACCCCCCTACCTGCAAGTGGCCCATGACGTTGTTTTTTTTGCACTTCTGTTAATCTTGCCATGTTGTTAAACTGTCACTGTTCTATTGACGCAGATGACAGGCGATCCGAAATCCTGCACTTTAATACCGTTCATAGTGCTGCTGCACGTGTAGTGCGTGCAGATCCATGGCCCTTTTGTTAATGCACTGGTTGCGTTTTTCCGAATCCTACGTGTCCTTGTTGTGATCATTTGATCCGGGAAATTTGTCACTGACACTATAACACATTAAACCTCTTCATTTTGCACCTCTTGGTCCGCTAATTTTGCTTTTATGGCCAAAAATATCCGTTTTTCGTTTCTTTTTTTTAAGAGTTTATTTATTGTGTTGTTATGATATATACTGAACCGCAAAAGAAACGTCACCATGGATAGATATATGATAAACCTTAATTGTCCAAACACTGTAAACATACTTTGAGAGATATTAAAAAGATGAAACTTGGCAAAACTGATCAATCAGTTGATATTAAAGTGCCAAAGTGAAACACAACTCTAGTCTCTGAGAAAATGGCATCTCTTGTGTCCGCTATGTGCATTGATGACTGCCGTACAACGTTAATACATGGAATGGATGAGGCGGTTGATGAAGGGCATAGGCACTTGCGCCGACACTCTGAGGAACGCCCAACGCAGTTCAGCTGCAGTTGTCGGCCTTGGTCGGACGTCATTCAGCCGTCTTTGAATCTCGTCCCACAGGTACTCAGTGGGATTTAAATCGGGACTGAGGGCAGGCCACTGCATGGTTCTGATGCCAGTCTGCTGATGGAAGTCTCTTGTTGCTCCGCAGTGTGGGCACGGGCGTTATCATGCTGAAACTCGTGGTTGCGGCGACGTGCCAAATGAGGTATGGCGTGTGGTCACAAGACTTGATCAATGTACGGAGCTACAGTAACATCATTGTCTCTCCCTGGACCAATGTTCTGGAATACCACAGGGCTGACCCTCTGTGCTAGACCAATTCCAACCCACATCACCCCACATGATGCTCAGACCACCCCACGAGTCTCTCTCAACAACACAAGCATCGAAATAAGGTTCCCCACAGCGTCGCCAGACTCTCCCTCTTCCATCTGCTGTTGAGATACAGTAACGGCTCTCGTCTGAGAAGAGGACTCTTCTCCACTGCTGGTGGCACCAAAGCTGGTGCTGTGTTGTCCACTGAAGACGGTCCCGGCGGTGACGTGGTGTCAGAATGGGTCCTTGGTGTGGCCTGTGACAGTGGAGGTGCCTGCTCGCCGATCGCCAACGCACGGTGTCCGCACTAATGAGTCGCTGGTGTGTCCCCATGGTCTGTCGAGCAGTTTCCGCATCAATAACAAAGCGATCTTGAAGATGCTGTCGCACAATTTGACGATCCTGACGCCGGGTGGTGACACTTGGTTCTCCACTACGTGGTCGGTCATCTGTGGTGTTGGTGGTCTGGTACCGTTGCTGGAGCCTGTATATGGTTCTTAAGTGGATTTGAAATGCATTGGTTACTTGCCGGTCGGTTTTTCCAGCTTGCAATCGTCCAAGGGCTTGGCGTCGCTGGCACGTGGTAGCAATTCAATAACGAGTGAATGTTATCCGATCTGGGTGGATTTTTATAGGGCAAGAAATTGGGTTACGCATATGCATTTCAGTTTCCAAGGAACGCACGTGCATCGGGTTACCATGGCCGTTGCCGTGATGCATTTGGGCGATCGGTTTTATTGTCATCTGCTTTGTCTTTTTTTATCATCAAATTTCATTTTTCCGGACAAGGTAATGTTAAATTTTAGAAACTTTGACAAAAATTACCCAGTTATATAAATGACAACTTTTCATGCAATGTTACTTGGGGTGACGTTTCTTTTGCGGTTCAATATATTTATGTGTTGTCTTACTATTTTTCTTAATATTAGTATGCATTGTCTTAATATTTGTGTCTTAATATTGAACAGTATATGGAACAGTGACGGTCATCTGTTCTCAATATCTTGAATAACCACCATTAGAGTCCAAAACTGACTGATCTCGAAATGTGGCCTGGGTGCCACTCTGCCAGCTGATATTCTCCTTCGGATGTTTGTTTCTCTTTGACATTCCATTTCTTGTGGGGTGGTCGGGTAGCCTACTGGTTAAAACCGTTCTCTCGTCACGCCGAAGACCTGGGTTCGATTCTTGAAATGGATAAAATGTGTGAAGCCCATTTCTGGTGTACCCCGCCGTAAAATTGCTGGAATATTGCTGAAGCGGCCTAAAACTATTCTCACTCACTCACTCCATTTCTAGCGTTTTCTGATCAAAACTTTCTGATTTTCCTCCAATCAGCAACGCCAAAGCTGATTCACGACAAAGTTCCTCATCAAACACAAGATTCACTTTTACTCTTTCTCATCGACTTCACTACCGTCTTGTTGGTGCTGATTGTTACACCAAAATCGTTGCAGGTAGAGGAGAATACGTCCTTAGCATTGAGGACATTGAGGGCACAATCAGCGAACAGAAAGTCTCTTGTTAACATGGACATTGGTCAGTTGATAGCTGATGTATGGCTTTCTCTGCTTCAGGCGGGGTAGGTTGGCTATGCCGTGGATGTTGTTGAAATCGGCTTGCTTGTTATTGTCGTTGAGGTAGGCTTTGTATGGTCTGTGCTTCACCTCCAGCAGCTTTGTGAAATCCTCATTGTTTTCATCAAACCAATGATGATGCTTACGCTTCGTGGTACCAAGGGTCTCAAAGGTTGTTGCACAAACAGTGTCAGAAAGGAAGCCCTGCTGTCTTCCACACTCTCTGTGACTTGGATGAGTTGTACACACTCTTCCAGTGACCTGTAGGCCCTTCACAGACAGTTGTCGTCTTCAAGCGTGGAATGTTCATGCACTTTGGTACTGGCTATCCACTGGGGCGCCGCTGGTTTAGGATTCTGATTTTCATCTTTGAGATGATGAGTCGAAGGTCAGCCCAGCAGTCGGTGCCGCGCATGGACCAATGTTGGTTTTGCCGATTACGTCCTTTCAGGTCAGGTGGCCCGAGCCTACCCTTGCATTGAAGATGGCGGGTATGATCAGCTACACTGACTAAGAGTGAGTGAGTGAGTTGGGTTTAACGCCTCTTTTAATTGTATTCCAGTTATATCGCGGCGTGTCAGCTGGATGTTGTAGGAAAGCCTGAAGTGATACGGCTGCTGACAAACCTAGAAACATAGTTGGGGCGAACCGGGATTCGAGCCCACAATCATAGAGCCCCCCCTGCGCCCCCCCCCCCCCCCCCCCCCCCCACACACACACACACACACACACCCCACACACACTTCTGACTAAGAGACTGGAGCTGTAAGGGAGCTTACATAGAACTTGTTCTTTATATCATCAGGTTCAGTCATGGTGGGTGCGTAGGCGCTGATGATCGTGGCCTACTTCTTCCCTGTGAGAGACAGTGTCATGGTCAAGTCATTGTACCCCGAAAAAGAGAGCTCAACTTGCTGACGAGTTCATTCCTCAATGCAAAGCCAAATCCAGCTTCGCGCCGCCCGTTTGTGGCTCGCCCACTCCAGAATCTCCTGCCCAAATCACCTTGATGCTCTTTCAGCTGTCCCTCATCGGCAAGACGTGTCTTGCTGAGAGCAACGATATGCCACTGCTTACAGATATAGCTAGCCATTGATTTTCTGTGAGTTCCAACCATTTGACGGTAGTGGGAAACCACGATATTCAGATTGTTCTATAAAATTTTAGACAAAAATATTTATGCTTTAGACTGTTGAAAAACAGATATAGTCTGGTACAAGTTTACATTGTTGCAATATAGTTTTAATTGATTTTTTTTCTGGTTTTGCAGCAGCAGCTGAAGAATATATAGTCTCAATGCTGGTGTTACATATTGAAGAATTTTGATTTTTTTCAATGCCTTTTCATAAATACATTTTCAGAATGATAAACGTCACATTCAGAATAAGAACTGGTATTTGTGTTAGATATTCTTAAAATATCGACTGTAAATATCTATTATGATAAAAATGAATTAGAAACAATTGTTTTAAGGGAATATTGGTATGAACTATTTTGCTTGTTGGTTATTTCCCGCATTTCCATCGCAAATATTATGTCAGCCACAGAAACTTCTTGTCCTGTAGTATATCTGCCAAATCCCGATTGTATCTGCTGTAAAATGTGTCGAGTAAGACACGGGTCTTTTTAAGCATAGGTCCTTCACTTTTCTTCTTCTTGCTGACATTGACATGAGGCACACTGGCGATGTAAGACAACCACTCTTCAGTGTAATCTGAAATACAATGTGCCTTTGTATGAGTTATCCTAAAGTCAGAATATGTGTATGTCAGTAGCTGAGTTGGTCTGGGGAATTATGTTGACATATCCGTAACACATAATTATGACAATGTTATCTTTCCTTTCATACTTGTTTATATTTTATGAAACTGAGCATCGTTCACCTGCGTCACTAATCGAAAGGAAACTTACGCAACCGGAAAGAAAAAGATAAAAACTCACTTAGTTTCAAATAGTTGTACACTTTTCTCAGCTGAGCTTTTGGGTCTTGATCGTGGTCCTCTGTTCGCAAGATCAGGAATTGCTCCCTTGGAAAAACCTTCAGCCATTCTCGCATGTACACTGAATAGCACCCAAAGAAAATGAAAGTCTGGGAAAGAAAAATGCGAATTGTAATATGCGATAACGTACATCAATTTAGCTCCTAATTGCATCACCATGTCATTCAGCATTTACAGATGTACACATAAGTTAATATATCACATTTCTGAACTGGTCACTGGTCAAGAGATATTTCCTACCTGAAGTGTTCGTGCTATGTCACTGCTGTACAGACAATGCTCCACCGTGTGGTTCTTCATGCAGGTCTCCTCGATCTGAATATCTCTTCTCACGGCTTCATGGAAATCCTCCGCTGATCTTCTAGTCCGCATAATATAGTCAGAATACAACCTGCAATGATGTAATCTGGCATTCAGGGGTGCGTAAATATCCAGACGTACGGATGATGGCTAACTGGCTAAACCAATTTTTTTAACATGCATGCTATGAGCTTTGCATTCGAACAGATAATTATGCCGACAGATTTGACTGAAAATATTACCAATGAAATTAGCATAAGAATGTTATGTTCAGAAGTTTAACCAAATCATTTTTATTTGTGTTACTATCTTAATTCTTTAGTTATATCTAATACAATACTTATTTAAATTGCAGATGACTGATATATGTTGAATAAATATTTAAATATATTGATTGTACTTCAGACGTGGTATATTCATAAAATGCAAAGTTATTTTAGTATGTTTAGGAAATGTGGTAATGATATGAAAAGGGTCAATATTTGATTGTAGCCTTCGATAATTCAAATCAAATCAAATATTGAGTAAACATAAGAGAGGGTCAATTCGTCAATCCGGTGACTCATGGCTCGCACAGCTGCTCTGGGAGTCAGTCCCTGTTATTTAGCTGATTAGAAATCATGGCATGCATATTTGCTCCTGCTTCCTGAAAACCATTACCCGGACACTAGTCATCCTTACCCTGGTTCGATTATTATTATTTCTTAATGAATTAACTGTTGATACAGTTTTTTTTAAATGGCATGAACGATCCGGGAATATTGTCAAAATACAAATGTACATTGTTGGATGTAAGGCACCACGTGATATACGTTATGGACCACTTGGCATGCCGTGTCACGTGACAAGCAATTAACCAATTGAATTGAAAAACCAATTCCGTTACCGGATAGCAAATGACAGCATCCACAACAATGCGCGGCTGCGAAGAAAGAAAGAATGTAAACCCCCCTCTTATTTATAATTATTACATTTCTGTATATTTTGGTTTGTCTTTTCTGTTACCTTATACATCAAGGTTTATGTAAGGTTAACCTTATGTGTCGTATTATCTAACTCCCATATTACAAATGAAAAAATAATATAAACGTTTTGTAAAGTTTAACGTAGAATAAATGAGTATTAAGCATTAAGAGTTATTTTAATCTTAAAACCTAGGATGTGATGATATCTAAGCTTTGCATCCTTCAATTTCCTCGTATTAAATTTGAAATAAGTGTATATGAAAACATCATATATATAGATTTCTTGGACCTAATTGATTCATACTTAATACAAGCATTCATACAACACTAATCCTTCCGCCGATGTGGTTTAAACAGCATTATATTTCCAGATAGATTACATTTCAGTGGAAGGGGATTGATAAACAGGTATCCCCTATTTAATTATATTTCCCTTGATAATGTCTGGAAAGGTGTATTGTGTGTGTACATCGCGTGTTGTATTTGAGTGACCACAAAACCCCAAGTTTATGTCATATTGTAGAAATACATACTGCTTCTTGTGTCTGACTAATTTACACATGAGCAGAAAAATTAATTGAAACGGCAGGAACAAGCGGTATTTTGAAATATAAACCATTCATATCGACGCGTGTTATATTAATGTAACTGCACTTTCAGCGTGAATGAATATTCTAAATGTTGTCCCCAAAATTAAATTACAAAAGTTGGGTTTAGTGTTTAATGCAATAAGTTTCTTTTTCATAGATAGTCTGTGATCAACTTGGATGGAGTGCTATAAACAAATTTACTCAATCTGCATCTTTCTTGTTTTATGGTTCAAACTTGATATGGACTATGATAAGAAGGCTGCTATATTTTATATACCATTTTAATTGTTAACATTATTTTAAAAAACCGTTTCATCCCTCGGAACATTTTGTTTCAGGGAATGAATATGAGTTGGTAATCAAACGTACACGCTCATATCAATACCTCTCAAATACATTATAAACAACATCCTAAGGATAACGATAACAACGAAATGTACAAATTAACAAACATGATAAACATTATGATTTGATGTGAATCTTTGTGCCATGCGTGTAAATATAGTTGTATGTATATATGTATATGCTTATTTTCAGTTTGTTTATATTTCGACTCAACCCCCACAAGTACGAAAGTCTGTACTTTACAGAGATAATGTTATCACAAATATAACAGTTGTTACATTTGACCACTTTCTAAGTTGCATTATGTGTTCATATATTTTTAAGTGAATATTTTGGTATCTTCATCCTAAAACAAAACTTTCAATGTTATCCTCAAAAGCGCAATTGTATTCAAATATATTTTTAAGTCACTTTTCAAATCAATACGAGTACGTAAAATTATAACAATGTAGACACAATTTATGGATAACAACTGATTTATTTACTGTAAGGGCGACGTTTCAGTATAGATCCTTATACCGTTGTCAAGCAAGGCTGTTGGTGGATGTTGATTGCTACGTCTCCACGTAGACGACGGATGAATTGTTTGATACATGAAACACATAAAACTTGTTCCAGACCCATGGACTGACTAATGAAGGTTTATTTACATGATATAACATTGAACTCTAGCCGAGACGTAATAGGGCTGTTGTAGTGGCAATACATTCTGTAATGAACACCTGTCGCAAGGTTCAGGCCATTTGGGTTTGTGCTCAGGGACGGTGTATTGGTGTATTCAGAAAATAACATACAACAAACTACCTACTTCGTCCTGTGATGTTGGTGCTCTTTGGCATTAATGAACGTGTAAGTACATAATTGGTTATGCTGTCCAAGCGCGGGCGAATTGATGCATGTGCACTTGGTCTAAATAAAAGAATTATAATTCGTTTTTAAATAGATCATAACTTGTCATTTATAATTGTTTCATCGTTTGGATCTTTCTGTGGATTGTTGTCTCTTTAGACGAGGGACGTTTTTAACGTCACCACAAATTCCTTGAACAGCCTTTGACACTACAAAAGGGTTGATCCTGAGAGGCAGGCCATCAATGCCTTTAACAACTAGAAATCGTGGCCAAGAGTCAATATTGGTTGAAGAAGATTCATCAGTTGAAGATGAAACAGTATCTAATTCAACATGTCTTATTTTACTTTTGTTACGAGAACCAGCGAGTTGCTGAGAAGCCATAAAGAGAGAGAAGAGATTCAAAACCCCTGCCACCCGACCACAATGGAGTGTCAACAAGGACGGTGTTGTAGCGGAAGCCGACTACAAGGCACCAGGGTTACAGGGATGCTATACTCGTGCTAGACACGGGAGTCAAACAGAATAAAAGTCAGGCTGATTCTGCCCCTGGTAATTTTCTGAAGACAGTTAGAACCCGGAGGTCAATAATTCCAGATTGTCCCATGAGCCACCGCCTTCTGGCATGGGACTCTAGGCATAATAGTAACATATACAAAAGTTGATGTCTAGGTGAAGTAAGGGTCGAAAGTTGTGTGTTGAGCAAAAGGAATGCCTGTTCCTGGCTCCAGTGCCTTCAACCACCAGATCTAGAATCCCGTCCTCAACCTAAACAGGGGCGCAGCCCACTGCAAACAGGCTGCCCAATTCGGTCGCCTTTTACGACCAACAATGCTGAGGAGGCATTCTTGTCTAACCCAGGTCCGCACGGGGGAAGTGATCTAGACTACCAGTTGTCGAATGTTAATCTTATATGGAAGCCCCTGTGGCATAGGTGGTTTGGTCACCGACTTTGTGTGCTGGCGATTTGGTGCATCACTTATGAAGAAAGAATACGAAGAATATAGCATTTGTTGTTTGTGAATGTTTATTATTCGACGCCAGAAAGCAAAAAAAAGGTATATTCGGCTTTGGATGGATAATAATATCACAGATATTTACGGATTTTGATGACAACTTGGAGGTCCTTCGTAATGTATTCTCAATTTAGGGGTGGGTAAGTGTGTGTGTGTGTGTGTGTGTGTGTGTGTGTGTGTGTGTGTGTGTGTGTGTGTGTGTGTTGTAAATGTGGGACTGTTGGATATAACATAAAAAAATCTTGTGCGGAATGGTAGTTGGAGTTGGATAAGCATGTTAACTATGTTCTTCTTAAGGTAGAAAATGCCGCGCATGAATGTATTAATGAGATTCACAGGTACATGGGGCCTTTGCGTCACCAGGAATATCCACAGTGGAGATTTAATTGAGGATCGGGTGAACACAATATGCGACCTGGTAGATTGTGTGTCATCAAACCGAACAAGGTTGGTCTTTTACTTACTGTCATTTAACTGACACTCATTCATTTACATGTATTGGAAATGGAATGTTCCACTTAATTATCATTGCTAATTGGGAAAGGGGGGTGGGTGGGTTGATTTTGGGATAGATGATGAATTTAACATAAAGAAAAGTCATCTTGAGCGGGACGGTATTTGGAGTTGGATTAGCATATGAACTATGATTCTGTTTAGGTAGCCAATTCCCCGCATGGATATATTGACAAGATTCCCATGTGCATAGGGTATAAAACGGGGTATAAGGCCCAGCCATTACGCTTCGCCCAGTAACACCGGTACCAGAGTAAGTCAGTAAAAAACTGAAAACTGCCCCATAATTATGTATGACAGACTAATCGGGTAGTGTTACAAGTATATGTGAAAACAAAGTTATTAAAATGAAGAGCATAACTGTTGAAAGTTACTTATAAATGTATGTAAGTGTTGTATCTTCACTGCAAAAATAATGACGTGTGTTCGTCTTTAGTATTAACATTCAAATACATGATATCTGTATCAGCGATATTGTCTACGTTTCACCGGTGACTTAGCATTAGCGTTATATATATCTTATATATGCAAGACACTGTATATATATGCAAGAAACTGTATTTCTGAAGACATCACAATACAGTTTTTTCGATGCATCATGTTTGCACTAGCGCTTGATAACAGACATGTGTTTGGGTGTTTCGGTAGTTTAAATTCCTGGGCTTAATATTCTTGATTAAAATTTGATACTATGAACAATAAAAGGTTATATGAGAGGATAACAGCCTTGTGTTTGGGTGTTTCAGTAGTTTAAATTCTTGGGCTTAATATCCTTGATTAATATTTGATACTAT